GTTCGTTTGTTCCTTCGAATCTAGTCGGTGCGAATAGCTCATGACTGTCGCTATTATTTGTTCCTTCGAATCGAGTGGGCGCAAATAGTGCATGACTATCGCTATTTTTGTTCTTGCGAACTTAGTGGGCGCGAATAGTGCTGGACCATTGCTAATTTTTTGTTCTTGCGAACCGAGTGGGCGCGAATAGTGCTGGACTATTGCTAATGTTTGTTCTTGCGAACTGAGTGGGCGCGAATAGTGCTGGACTATTGCTAATTTTTGTTCTTGCGAACTAAGTTGGCGCGAATAGTGCGGGACTATTGCTAATTTTTTGTTCTTGCGAACCGAGTGGGCGCGAATAGTGCGGGACTATTGCTAATGTTTGTTCTTGCGAACTGAGTGGGCGCGAATAGTGCTGGACTATTGCTAATTTTTGTTCTTGCGAACTAAGTTGGCGCGAATAGTGCGGGACTATTGCTAATTTTTGTTCTCCCGAACTGAGTGCTTTTCATTCCTTTGCGACAAAGCGCCATAGCGAGTAAAATACATATTAAGTTGCCTGGTGACATTTCCTGAGATTTTGCGCGTTCCACGTTCTTTGTATCTTGTTGCCCCCCAACTCGCTGAGTTTGAAGGTGCTGGCGCCGATCACTTCGCGGATTAGGTATGGACCCTCCCACACTGAGGCGAGCTTTCCGTGCTTGGGATCGGGACGGAAGTTCCGCCGTAGTACTTGGTCTCCGAGGATCAACTTGTGTGGAACCAGCTTCGCGTTGTGGTACTTGGCTACCTACTCTTTCATTGCGGCCAGCTTGATTGCTGCCAACTCGCGCCTTTCCTGTGACAACTCCAGCTCCAGCAAACGCGCTTCATCGTTGGTTTCTTTGTTGTACCTCGTGATTCGATAGGTTGGGGCTGTTGTCTCTATGGGAATTACCGCGTCGGTGCCGTATGTAAGGGCAAAAGGGGTTTCGCCTGTTGCCACTTTGTATGTGGTGCGGTGCGCCCATAGCACTGTGTTGAGCTCGTCAGCCCAATTACCTTTGCCATCGTTCAAGCGGGTGTGCAAGCCGTGCAGGATTGCTTTGTTGGCGGATTCCGCTTGGCCGTTGGCTTGGGGATAAGCTACAGATGCGAACCTTGCAATGGTTCCCACTTGGTCGAAGAAATCTATCACTTCCGCGCAGTCAAACTGCTTCCCATGATCAAAGATGAGCGCGTTCGGGACTCCAAAGCGCGACAAGATGTTGTTCTTCATGAAGCGCGTCACCTGTTGCGCCGTTATCGAGGCTAGTGCTTCAACTTCGATCCATTTGGTGAAGTAGTCTACTGCCACAATGAGTGTGCATCGGGCCGCCTTTTGCCTCAAAGTCCATGCCTCCTTAGCGTCCTCCGGTATCGTACCGTCTTGTAAGTACCGCACAATTGGGGTTCTCCAGTCATCGTTCATGAGTTGGGTGGTATTGATCGCCACTTCTTGGCGATTTTCCTCTTCTTCCTTCTGTACCGACACGAGACAAGTTGTCTCGAAGTCGGTGGCGGTCGCTAGCTTGGATAGCGTGTTGGCGTGCACATTTTCCTCTCTCGGTATTTGCACATAAGTTACCACCTCGAAGGTGGTTGCCCGCAGCTTGACACGCTCCATGTAATGCGCTAGGGGGTCTTCCTTTGCGTCAAAGACTCCATTCAGTTGGTTGACTGCCAGAGAGGAGTCGGAAAGTACCCTTATTGTTCTTGCGCCCAATTCGTGGGCAGCGGTCATTCCCGCCAGGATGGCCTCGTACTCGGCTGCGTTATTCGTCTTCAACGCTCTGAATCTGATTGCTATCTCGTGAACGGCGCCTGTGGGTGTGCGCACGACGACCCCCGCGCCAGCACCATGTTTACTTGCCGCTCTGTCGACATAAACCTCCCATACCCCCTCTGGTGTTGTTTCGAGGGTGACTCCTTCAGCGATGAAATCTGCTAGGATTTGGGCTTTTATTGCTGGTCTCGGCGCATATTGGATGTCGTACTCTAATAGTTCGACCGCCCATTTCACCATGCGCCCCGACACTTCCATCGAAGTTAGGATTTTCTTTAGCGGGAGGTTGGTCACGATAGTGATCTAGTGCGCTTGGAAATATGGACACAACTTCTGCGACGCGCTTACCAATGCCAGGGCAGCTTTCTCTATTGGGGAGTATCTTGTTTCCGCGCTGACTAGCGTACGCGAAGTATAATACACAGGTTGCTCGGTATTATCATTTCTTCTGGATATCAGGACTTCGCTCACGGCTCTCGTCGACACGACCAGATAAAGGAATAATTTTTCATTAAGCTTGGGAGCTGTCAATACAGGAGGGGATACAAGATATGCTTTCAGCTCTTGGAATGCTGCTTCACATTCCTTGGTCCATGCAAACTTTGTGCCGCTCTTGAGTGTTTTGAAGAAGGGCGCGCACTTGTCGGCTGACCTTGGTATGAATCTCCCCAGCGCTGCTATTTTGCCATTCAGGAATTGGATTTCCAATGCGCTCCTCGGTGCTCGTAGTTGTTGGACCGCCGTGATTTTTTTTGGGTCGACTTCGATGCCACGCTTGGTTATCATGAACCCAAGAAACTTCCCTGCTTCTGCTCCAAAAACACACTTTAGTGGGTTCAAGCGGAGCCTGTGTTTGCGGAGCGCCTCGAATGTCTCTCGCAGGTCCTCCAGATGCGAGTTGCCGGCCTTGGTTTTGACGATGAGATCATCCACATACGCCTCGATGTTCCGCCCCCTCTGTTGTAAGAACACTGAATCGATCATCCTTTGGTATGTCGCGCCCGCGTTCTTCAGTCCGAACGGCATTCCAACGAAACAGAAGTTTCCGAAGGGAGTCATGAACGCCGTTTTTTCCTCATCTTCGCGCGACATTGGGATTTGGTGGTATCCTGAGAACATGTCCAAGAAAGACAGTGTCTCGTGGTCGGCAGTGGCGTCGATCAGTTGGTCAGTGCACGGCAAGGGGTAAGGGTCTCCCGGGCATACTTTGTTGATTGTTGTGTAGTCTACGCACATCCGCCAAGCCCCTGAAGACTTTTTCACCAGGACCACGTTCGCCAACCACTTCGGGTATTTGACCGGGCAGATCAACCCTGCCGCCAACAGTCACGCCACCTCCTCTTCGATGGCCTTCAGTTTATCGCCAGTGAAGCCGCATCGCGCTTGTTGCCTCGAAGGCGCGCTAGGCGGGACTGCGAGGCAATGTTGGGCTACATGCCTTGGTACCCTTGGCATGTCTTCTGGGCACCAGGCAAATAGCTCCTTGTGTTCCTTCAGTAGCGCTATCAGCGGCTCAATCGCGTCGTCTCGGACGTGAGTCGAGATGCGTATTTTTCTAGTCGGCTCGGTTGGGTCGAGCGCGACCTCGAAATCGGAATCCATCGATTCCGGGCGGGGTTCCTCTGGCCTTGTGTCGACAATGTTGGTTTGCCGGGCCTCTCCTTCTAGCTTTGGGGCTCCCAATGGCGTCCCGCGCGCCTCTCCTGTTCCCATCTTAGTGGGGAACTTAAGCTTCTGGTGGCATGTGGATGGAAGGGCCATAAATTTTGCTAGGAAGGGTCGGCCCAAGATGCCGTTGTGGGACGATTTGCAGTCGACTATTGTGAACTCGACTTGTTTTGAGACGCGCGGTTCTTGGTCTCCGATAACAATAGGAAGAGTTACCACACTAATTACTGGAACCCTCGTTCCAGAGAAGCCGACCAAGTTCCCTTGGGCGCGCTTGATTAAGCGCGGGTCGATGTCCATTTTGTCGATAGTGCTTTGAAAGAGGATGTCTGCCGCGGCACCCCCATCTATCAGTAGGCGGTGTATTTTGCAGGCGGCCACTAGAGCGGTGATGATGAGCGGGTCTTCTGACGGAATTCCTTGCGGTAATTCGGTGTCGTCGAAGCTTAGTTGGCCCCCTGTTTGTGCATCCGCCGCTGCGAATTCGATCGCTCGTTCGCGCTTGGTTTTCTTTTTCGGACGATCTCCTTCCACTGTCACCACCCCTATTTCTTTTCGCACTACATACGCTCCAGCGGTTTCGTTGTAGTCGGCTTGTGGGGGTGGTGGCGGGTTTTGGGGCTCCCCTACTTGCTCCTCTTTTTCGTGTGTGAACTCGGTCAGCAATCCTCGTCGTATGAGGCCTTCTATTTCGTAACGTAGTTCTCGGCAATCTTCTGTCCAGTGCCCCGTTCCTCTATGGAAGTCGCAATGCTTTTTCGGGTCACGCATGTGGGGTAAGGACTTCAAAGGCGCGAGCCAATTGAGCTTGTAGCCCTTCTCGCGGAGAACGTGGAATACGTTCTTCACGGAGTCGTTGAGCGGTGTGAAGGCGTGGGGTGCGCGCTTGTCTGGTGATCTTTCCCGCTGAGCTTGTTCTTGTGGGGGAGGGGGTGGCGCTTTTGCCCGCTGTGTAGTTGCACCAATTGGTCTCGCGGCAGCGTGAGCTGCCGACGTCCCTGTTCCTCTCGCGGCAATTTGGCTGGCTCGAAGCGCCTAACAGATCCCGCTCCGAGGGTTACTTCCAGCGTAATTGCCTTCTCAATCTTCATCTCCAACTCTGTCGATAGTGTTACGGGCCTTTTTGCTAGCGCCCGCTTTAGTTCCATGTTGGTGGTGGCTTCCATAAGGTGATGGGCGGTGGTTTCGGGGGTGAGGTCGCGTGGCAATCTTGGTGGAATGCGCTTGCCGGTGTGTTTTCCTGGTCGCGCTCCTTGACTTGGACGCTCTCAGTGTTTCTCTGGCGCAGCGGGATCCGAGTCACATACCCAACACATCCTGTACATTGAAAATCAACGATAAAATTTTTACAGTGGTAATGTGGTACTTGACTTTCTGTTAAACCGTGACTCAACCACCAATCATTGAAAAATTACCCTTAACTTGTTCGAACACTTGCCTCCTAATTTTGTTCCATCCTCCTTCATTTCAACAACCTCAATATATATCCATTAGTTTTACCACATTGCAACCTCAACTCGATATGATCCATTTTACGTATCTTCTATAGTATTCTTTAGATTAATTTTCACTCATTCAAGTGTTAATACTTAATACACATTGGCCAATGGCCACCATACTTATATGACCCCAAAAAAGTGATGAATTTGGAGAACACCCACACACTTTTTCTTATATTTTTTATGATACTGAGAATTGAGATGAGAAGTAACCATGTATACCTCAATATAAATATCCAGCCACAAATACATCAAAGAATACACATATAACACAATATGTAATACATAATACATAAAAACCCCTAAAAATTTTAACTACCCCATTGCCAAATTTCGATGCATCTATACAAAGACACAATTGAGAGAGTACTGAAGCCCTCCATTCCCAAACGTATCCGGAACATCTCTCCACAAAGAAAACCCGCCTTCCTCCCTCTCCACCGCCGAATACGAGCCGCCTTTCCCCACCACTCCGGCCGCCGCCGCCGCCATCGAATTGATCGCATTGTTGCTCCCATTTGACAGATACCCATCCTCCCCAAAACCATCCTCCAGGTAACTGCAATCGAATTCATCGAGGCTGCTAGAATAGCCGTAGGGCGCCCGATGATCCTCGACGGAGCTAGCCGGACTGGCCTCGGTGGTGGCAGGGGACGGCGTAATCGGCGAATAGTATCTCTCGCTGTATTCATCGTGGTCGTCTTCTCCGACCCGCGAATCCTTTCCGGTGAGCTCCTGAACCAGAGCTCGGAACTCGGAAGCATTGGTGGCCTTGACCAGAGTGGGGCTGGAGATGTAGGTGATCTTCAGGGGCTCCTTCTTGTTGCTCCCCTTCGCCTTGGTCCTCTGTTTTCGGTTACTGAGTTCGTGATTCGTGATTTTGGCGTTATTCAACTTCCCCATTAGCACGAGACAGAGAGAAAACGAAAAGGGTTCGGGTCGATCGATGATGGTGGGTGAGTGAGTTGGGTGTTGAATTGGGTTTTCCGAAATTCGGCTCTGCTACTTATGGAGCGTGGAGAACAGGGAAAGAAGGTGAGGGGGAAATTGGGCAGAGAGGGAGGTTCCAGGAAAGGAGAAACGTTGAAAAAAAAAAGCAGAAGCGAACAAAGAGACAAAATTGGAAAAAATAGGGAAAGAGGAAAGGAGTTCAGATTATCGTATTTCACTGTCGAAGATATTATTGTTATTATTGTGTGATTTATGAAATGAAAAAAGGGAAATGAATCATGATTACGGATTAGCCTACTCCTTCTCCTTCCTTCATGTCTTTGTCTTTCCCTTCCCACCAAACTTTCCAGAATGGCTGCCAAGTTGGGTTACGTGGGGGAAACGGTGTGAAACGTTTAAATAGTGCAAAGATAATTATAATAATTATGTTCCAGAACAACGGCATCAAATGTTCCTATGTGAACTAGATAAAAAAAGATATATTCTTGTTGGTGTTTATGAGTTTTTTTTATATATCTAGATAATATATCGTAGTAGTGAGATTATATATTTTTATAAAAAAAAAAGAAAAAAGAAGAGAATTATATCGTAATTTTGAAAGTGAGGATACATAAAAACGAAATTCGACGGTCTAGATATTAAATGTATAGTTAAATAATTGGATCTCGTAATGTTTAGATTTCGACAAATACATTTTACTACAAGATACACACATTCTAATTTGGGGGTGCTAAGCGTCGTGAAATATGGTAATGTCCATCAAAGTGTTGTGTACTTGTGCTTACGACTTAATTAAAATGACTGACATCATATCACTTATATTTAATTTATACATAAAATTTACAATTATCTAACTATTTGATTTAACCAATTCTCACTTGAAACGACATAAATATAATGTGATAAAAGTAACATAAATGAACACAACTCCAAGAATAAAAATATGTTTAAAAAAGAAGGAACAATATATAATTTCGCATTGCTTACTTCGTGTTCGAGAAGGTCGGATCTCATTAAAGGTTAAATTTGAAAAGGAATAGAATTTGGGTCAAACACATGATAAGGAAAAAAACACATGAATACAAAAAAAGAACTACAAGCAAGTCAAGTCTAACATAATGAATTGAACAAAGCCCACAGATCGAATAAAGCCTCGAAATGTTACTGAGCTACAATCAGATCCCTGAACGCACCCCGCCGCCCCGGCAACACCTTCAACAGCAAAAATCCCGGACTTCCCCTGTTCTATGTCTTAGCCGGGAGCAATCTTTCTTAATGAGATTCAACAGCTTTCCAAAATCCTACAAAACTACAATTTTTTATAGAAACATTGTTTTGTTTTGAATATATTTTGTACGATTTTACTTTTAGATATGTCATAATGCGTGATGCTAGAATACGATGATATGCTAGTCCCCGTGAGAAAGTTAGTGAATTATAGGACATAGCAGATTTGATGCATATATAAGTACGACCAGACGAGAAAAACACTTAATCATTTGGATATTCATGGACCAGCTGAAAGATACGAATGGTAATGAGGCATGTTCAGGTGGAAATTTTGATATCCATATTCATTCTGTGGCAGGTCGCGTACATGTTGAGTAATTTATCACAAGACACAGAGTCAGGGCAGGTCGACTCATATGAGTATTAACTAAAAAAGAAAGTATTAGAAATAATCATTTTCATTAAAAATCCAAGAAACAACCTATAATATTGTAAGTGTTATTAAATTATTCGAGAAATTCTTACAAAAAAATTATTCAAGAAATTGAGACTCTTGCCTATTACTACTTTATTATAGTTAAAATACGAGGCAATAAAAGTTAAATTCTAAGTAATTTGAGTAAAATTACATGCGATTCTAACAAAAAAGAATTGACAATGAAGCAGTTAAGAGCAGATCATATCATGGAGAGTACTCATCATGTCTGTCTCACCCCACTTACGGTATGAGTATTACCCGTCTCGAAACAAATCAAACAGATCTGATAAAATAGATTATCATTTCTCCTAGAAGGAAGGCGAGGACATAGCAAATGTCCAATCTATTATTCCCAAGTATTCTACACTAATTCCCACTTTAACCACAAACCTTCAACAACAATCAATGCCCCTCAGCTCCATCGAATGATGAAATTAACATTCATCATCGATTTTGCACAAGGCACAAAGTTATCACATATTATATTCAGTAATTTAGGAGATATATGTGGTCATCAATTGTGGTGGTTTTGATATGTTTCACTACAATAAGAATCACTAGGAGACATAACGGATAGGGCAAGGACACAAATCTCTTTTTCTTTGGCAGTGACGGAGGACACCACAAGTCCACAACCCCTTTGTGATTTAAAAAGAGACTTAAAAACGTAAGCATTCAAAAAGGATAACTTGGAAGTCTTTGGTCCAACCGAATTACAATATACTAAATTTTCCAAGCCCACGTGCGAAATTAAATTTTATATGGATAGCAAGGCAAGGGGCGAATAACATTAACAAGTCAAAGGTCTTGGTCGCCATGAAACGATCTAGAAACGGATCACTCCTGTGCTGGGTCGTCGTCAAAACCAACACAAAAAGTCATAATTCATGCATCTGCCTGCCTGCAACTCCAACGATTAATTAGTTAATTAGAACTTAAAAGTAGATTCATTTCTCCACATTTCCGTCCGTACGTACATGCGTTGCTCACTTCAATTGGGGAAAAAGTCTGTGTGTGCTTGGATTGGATGGATGGCGTCGTTGGACGACTTATGTTTCGGTTGGTGGTGGCTGATTTATCAAGCTACGTACCGTTTATGTATTCTAGACAACACTGATTCCGTTTACACAATATATTTATTGGGATTTCCTAAGGTATTTTTTGACAAAAGATAATCATTGATAGAAGAAATCGATAGTTACATCCTGGAACTAAGCCAGGTCCGAAAATTAAAGTGACGACTCATAGTCGGGTACAAAGAAAGGGCATTTCTAGCCATCAAGTGGGCTACCCTATTGTTACGCCGACCTACAAATCGAACAGACAAACCAGCATGGTTATGAACATTGTACAATATCTCTTCCAGCACAGCCCCCACCCGGTTATCTCTAGTATCCGCCTTGTTGACTTTATCAATGAGCACTTTAGCATCCACCTCCAACCTGATGTCCGAGAAGCCGAGCTCAACTCCCTCAGTACAAGCAACTCCACAATCATGGATCATCCATCGACTGGAACTGAACTCCCTTCACCAAAAGGATCGCCCTGTCCGGATTCAAAAGAACCATCCCACCAGCCGAATGAGACCCCCCTTTTTGTGGCCCCATCCCACATACAAACCACCCTATTATCTCCAACTGGATTCATATAGGCCCTAGCAGGCATGACCGAAGTCGGTACCGGGCCCGTGGTCAGGCTAACCCACTCCTCATACTGTTGGTGGAATTGACGCATCAAGGCTGGGATTCCGAACTGCTTGCCCTCATAGACAACCCAATTCCGAGAACGCCAAATCCTCCACAGGATGGCTACCACATCCATGAACAACGCCGGATTATGAACCAAAGCCATCAATCTCTTCAGAAATAACGGGAAGGTATGCCTGAGACAATCCTTCCCCTAGATACTCCATACCCGAGTAACCCCAGAGGGCACAGGCCACAGGGCAATCAAGAAAGAGATTCTCCATAGTCTCCGCGCCTTCCCAGCAGACCGGGCATCTTGGGTGGACAGGCACCTTCTTCTTAATGAGGGCCTGGTTCAATATTTTCCAGAAAAAAAACTTTTAACTTCGGGGGAATATCAGCATTCCACAAGCGAATCCAACTGGGCCTATCCATCCAACTGGCCAACTATTTCCATTTCCCTTCCCTCCTATCCAAGGAGACAGCCAGATGATAGGCTGACTTTACAGAGAAAACCCCATCAAAAATATCATGCCAGATTACCTTATCATCCACATCTCTGCGAGAATCACTCTAATGGCCTGGCAGGTCGGCGGATCAAACCACTAGCGGAGTTTAAGGTCACACCATTTTCCTTCGCCAGGACACAGAACCTCCTCCACCAGCGGGTCCCCCCCCCCCCCCCCCCTCTGGTAAAACCTGAGGGTTTTACCTTGGGGGATCAAGCTGGAGTCGGGGTATCCAGTTAGAATGGAGCAGGGAGGCAGACCGACCATTCCCTATTTGCCACCGTAGTCCCTTTTCTAGCAACTGCCGACCAAAGAGAATGCTTTGCCACCCCCACGAAGGGCGGGACCGAGCCGTCGCTTGAAGGAAAGTTCCTCTGGGGAAGTATTTACCTTTATAAACCTGGGCTAGAAGGGACTGCGGGTCTATTAGAATACGCCACCCAATTTTGGCCAAAAGAGCCTGGTTAAAATGCTCGAACCGCCGAAACCCAATCCCCCATCATGCTTGCTCCTACACATATTTCGCCAGGACACCCAACGAATCTTCGAATGGTCCGCCAAATCCCCCCACCAAAAAACGGGCCACATGTTTGTCCAAAAGACGACATAGGGAGAGGGGCAATTTGAAGCAAGACATAACATGTAATGGTGACGCCAAAGCTACTAACTTAATCAAGGTTTCTTTAGCAGCCCAAGACAAAGTTCTTTGCTTCCACCCCTGCAACCGCTCTGATAATTTCTCCTGCAAATACCCAAAGGTAGCCATCTTTGATCTGGCAATTAGCGTAGGAAAACCCAGGTATTTGTCATGGACCCCGACCGCTCCAACCCCCAAAATAGTAGCAAAAAACTCTTGGTCAGGCAGCGCAATTTTTTGCTGAAGCAAACTGCCGATTTCGCCAAATTAACCCGTTGGCCACTAAGGTCCTCGTACTCATTTAAGATCTCGATCAGATTTTCACATTCCTGGAGAGTACCACGCAGGAATAGGTAAGAATCATCCGCAAAGAACAAATGCGAGATCTTGGAGGCCCGCGGAGCCACTTTTACCCCATCCAACTTCTTTTCCGCTATAGCCTTGCGCAACAGCGCCGCAAACCCCTCCGTACATAAAATGAACAAAAGGGGGGGACAGCGCATCCCCTTGACGAAG